CTACTTGAGACTAAAATTCTAATGTTATATCATTTTCCATTCCCACATTAAAGTTTTAATTCCTTCAAAACCTTGCAACTGTTTGCGCTGGAATAATATGCGCTATTTCCACATTGTGTTACGACATCGCGGTGGCAAATAGCATAAAACTCAAAATGTGTTGACGGCTCTGTCATAAAATGAAGTTCGGAGGACAAGTATAATTGCCTTGCTAAATAATATCCTGTGATCCCCAGAGCTTTTTATGTACGAATAAATTATCGCACCTCGCCAGGTGCGACGTGTTTACCCTCGATATGTAGACACATGAATTTCATGAGTGTACCTCAGCTGGTTTTGCCGACACATGTCGTTCGTGAATGAAAAACCTCGATTGGCTGCAAGTGCACTCTAATTAGCATTCGCGAATTTATAATGAAATTATAGTGATTAATATTACTTTAATCGTGTCACTATATGCTTAGCATATCTATTTTTCTTTAAAATTATTATGTAATTAAGTTGTATCAAGGATCTTTTTGAAGTATATTATTATGAATCGTCTACAATAGATGAAGTAAGCCTAGCGAAAGAAGCAAGAATAGGACTAAAAAAATTAATCATTTTCATTACTTCTACTTCAGCTCTGACGCTTACTCTCGGGGAATTAGAGCGTGATTCGGCCAGAGCTACAAATATTTTTAAAAAATATGCCTATATTTCAGCTTTTAAACTGAAAAGTTAAGGGTTCTCTTGCTTCTTATTGCTTACTTCCAATGTGGACGGTCCTTTAAACTTGCAGTAAATCTGTACGTATGTCAATCATATAATCAAATTTAAAATTAGTTTGAATAATCTTGATAGAATATTAAGTAGATTGGCGGGCAGCTACCTAAATAGTAATTTAGTGAAACAGGTAATGACTGCCACGGGATATATAAAACCTGCAGAACTTATCGCGGCTTGCATAATATTCACGTTCTCTTTGCAAGCTAAAGCAATGGAAGCTTTCATATAACAAAAATTTATACATGAACAATATACACCATCAATCATTTAAATTAGTTGCAAATTTAAACATTTAAACTGCACAATATAATAAGTGTTCCTTCCTGAATTATACGCTGTAATCACAAAGATAAAGTAACGGTTAACCGTATTTCCATCACGTTTCAACTTATGTTGTCGTACATCTATTAACCAAATTTCAAGCGCATGCATTTAAGATCGAGATCTGCAGTAAAACTGCGAGATTCCCGGGGCTCGCCAAAATATATTCTTCATACGCATAAATTTTCAATATTCTCCCCAAGATCTGGAGAATGATGGTTTATGTATTTATGCAACATTATCGCGCTGCAGTCGACCACGTCCGATTGCATTTTAATATATTCTTGTTAAAATGTTACATTCAGTAATATAATGGTGTAAAATGTTATTAAAATATTTAAACGACTTCTCGAAATGTACTCTTTCTAGCGAGGCAAAAAAAGTAAAATTAATGTCATTACTTTAATCAGTTATGAATAAATATACGAAAAAAATCTAAGAAACTTTTAAATCAGAAAATAATTTGATAGTTAAAATTAGATTAAGGAATAAAGGAATTTAGTCGGCTCGTTTTACGCAAGAGCCAATAAATTAGCGTCTTAGGGCTAGACACGAAAATAGAACATAATTGAAAGCGCGACATTGCGTATTAGCCATGACAAATTTGCCTGAAGGTCGCAATACAGAATTTAAATTGAAATCTGCATCAGGCTAAAAAAACGCGCAATGTTTTTTAGCCTAATGCTTCCACATCGATCACAGTGAAATGATAAATTTATGGTCAATCGCAAATCAGATCGTGCGAAACAATATGAAATATTATCAAGGCCATTTGATGTATACATAACCATTCTATCAATCACGATCTATAATAGTTCTGCTATTGTTTGTTTTATTTATTATAAAATTATTTGTTTTATTAAAAATAATTTATAATTCATATATTATTTACACTAAAAATAGTTTAATAAAAGGCAAAAATAGATTATAAAATTAATTTTGTTAAAATGTGACGAATATATTTTTTAAAAAGTAATATAAAGTTATCAATTTTTCTAAAGGCCAATTTTTACATTCTGTAAATTTTATACATACATTTTTATCTGTATCTACGGAAGTTAAAGATACATTTGATTAAAGAATATCGCTTTTTTTACGTTTTTTTTTGCTATTTGGAACGTATCGACATTCAATGCCGATAGTATTCGTTCATACATGAAAAATGGTACATCCTTCCGTGATACTAAAAGGTTTGATAAAATTAAATATCCTCGAAAACAAACTGGATTCATTTAGGAGTTATTTATGGATCTACATATCTCTCCAATGAACATACAAAAAACGGATTGGACAGAGTGCCAAATATGTCACAGGTGGTTTCATAATTAAGTAATGTAAACGTGAATTATGATGAAGCAATCACTGCAACGATAAAATACTTAATTTAAAATAAGTCAATTAAGAAACATGATGTTTCAATTCTCGGGGCCAAAATAATTTCTTAAGTCTAATAATCACGAGAATAGATGTATTTAGAGGCCTTTTCTATTTCTGTCTTTTTAAATTCAAAGTTAAAGAGAAGTACTACTTATCAAAACTTTTATACCACACTGTTTTATACAACTATTTTGCATACGAATAATAACTGTTAAATTCATCTAGAAGACGCAATCAAGTAATGGATTCGATCCATTATTGCCTTTGCGCGAGGTAATTAATTAAAGCAGCTTCTAAGCATGTCGAAAAATTACGATATAAAGAACCGCGAAACTTGCTTTTTACTCAAAGTAATATATCTATTGCATTGCCTAAAAATGTTAGCTATTCCATCAGATATAGCAAGTCGCAGGATGATGCCAGGTTTTCATGCAAGGTTACAGAACGCACGCAAGCTGCAGCCTAATCGATGTTGTACTCGTAATTCTGAATATGTTGTAATCCGGAAAGCAAGCGCGCATATAGCAATATTTCGAATTTACTTTCTCGTTCACAGACTTTTTCCAACGACCAAAGATCGTATAAGTTTTTGTAGATCACATAATATTTATATTCATATAACATTCTTTACAAATTTGCACGTACATGTGAATCTTTTCTATTATGTCTTCAAGGCTTAAACGTTTTCTACTGTAATAATTCCTTTATCTAAAAGAATTATTAAAAAATGTATTTCCAAAATTTACTTTGCAATCACCCGGTACGTGTAACAACGAAGGGAAATTCTAAGCTAAAAATACGACAGAAGATTCCTATGCTTTTAGAGGTAATGTCTGATATAAATTTGAATAAAGTACACGGAGAAAGTGTCGAAATGCCTCGCGAACCATCAAAGTGTCAAAATAGAATTGCGGGACAAACCCCAGTGAATCCCTTGATCGAGGTCGATCGATCTTTCGCGACACTTTCAAATCGATGGTTCCCGAGCGTCGTCCAAGTGATCTGCGCCAGCACGAGCCGTCTGTCACGTCGAACACCTTGAGGTATTCATAGTCAGTATCGCCGTCTCGCTATTAATACTTGCGGCAATTTTAGTTTTCAAACGTATGCCAAGAATAAATACACAGTTGTGTCGCGGCTCGTAAATGTAAATATGACAGCAAATTTTGTCTCCCTGAAAGAGTTTGATCGTGGGAAAAGTCAAACTGTCTAAAACTTGAGAGTTCATTTACGTCTGTCAATTTAAAGCCTCTACAGAAGTGTTCTGCGATTTTCTGTAATCTTGTACTAAGCCGCGTGAGTTGATTAGCACAAGTAGATTCAAATACAATGATAAAATAAGAAATAAAATAAAGCAACAAAGAGAAACGACGATGTCTCTAATTGAAAAAGACAAATTGAAGTACTTCTAGCCATGCACATCCGAGAATGTGAATCGTCCTACTGAGGCGGTAAGCGTGCCAAGTCGCGGTGACTTAAAGTATAAAATGCTTCGAAATGCAACAATCGCGGCAGTTGGGTGCGCCGGGCGCGTTTTCCGCTTTCATTTCTTTCCCTCAACATGCACACTGTGTCGTTGTAACTATTGACCCGTGAAAGACGTATCTTTCAGAGAAAAACGCTACCTTGTCTGTCAGTCGCGAGCTGTGTGATTCTTGGCAGACGAAGAACGATAAACGACGTCAGAAAACTACCAATTCCGTGGTGAAAAATAGAAAACTTTGCAGCTAAATTCGTGACCAGAATTCGTCACTCGCGAATGTTACGCCGATAGTGTAATGCAAAAGAGATACCATTATTATTATTTATCGAATAGCCTAATTCGTTCTTTATACAAAATACTTATGATCATCTTAATAATTAAATAATGACACAATTTTTGTACAGCAATTATATTTTAATTACTGTTCTTTAATAACTCAGTATATCACTTTTGAGTAACGTGATTATCTTTACACTTATCTAGTAGCATGATTATTTTTATACATGTAGTAAAAAGTGATATTAAGGTGGCACATTTGTTCAGTTCCTTCACTTGTCTCGTAAACTAACTTTCGCGAAAATACACGGCAAGCTATTTTATATTTCGCAAGCACTACTGCAAGTACTACTTTGGTTTGTCTCAATTCACGGGCCTAGAATTGAAACAGAGACACTAACGAGAGAGTTCTGTAATATGCAGAAGAATCTGATATTTCTATTTGTAATGAACTTGCTGTTTTTAACCGCAGTATTTTAGCATCATATTTATGTTGTTTCGCAGATGATCACGATATGTCATATTCCATAATTAGCAAATATGCTATAAATTAATGACGTGGATATATATAGTCATACGTTTCATCTATCCGTATTTACGTCACATATTGTAAACTGATTGACATTTAAATAAAGACTTTTGCATTTATCTTCTTTTAATGAATTAATTAAATATTATCAATCTTTGTTATTCTAAAAGCCGTTGAAAATTTAATTTAAACGCTTTGAAAATTTAAATACCTTTATATATATTCTTTCTACTTAAGATAAAAAATATAGAATTTCGTTAAGAAAGGAGGAGAGAGAGCCTTTAAATTGATCAGAAGAAAATGTAAGAGATATCTATGAAAGGTAATTCGAATATATTAACCAGCTCGACACTATCTGCTAATCGGTGATTTTACGAGCGTGATAGGAAATGTCTACACGTTAGTGGATCTAAAATCGCGTTTTCGTTCTTCGAAGTCTAATTTTGTGAAGATTTATAACGCCTTTATCTTGTTCTCTCTATCTATATATTCTATCTCTCTAGATAACACTACAATTATCACGAAAAATCGCCTTCACGTTGTTTATTTGTACATTAATTCGTAAAACATTATTATAATATAAATTTTCTTTTGGAAATTCTTCCAACACCACGAGAGCGTAGCGCTAATTTTAAACCAGAAATGCTGCCAGAAATGAATATCCTCATCCACGTAAAATAATATTTCCTTCAAAAGTGGATGTGACAGCGCCTCTTCGTGTCATATGATTTATTAAGACAAAAATTAATTTCTAATTTGACCGCGAGCATTCAAAAGTTGCCGTTTGCACCCGAGTGCGTCTAAAATAGATATTATCGTAGCTAATGATGCTCGCCAAATGCGACAACGCGCAATAGCTTAGTCGCTTCTCCAACAACAATAAGATATTATCGAAACTGCACACGAGAGCAATTACTTGGCGAATCGTGAATTAGGCAGGTATCGCAGGTATATGTAGCGACTCCCACGTGTCTCTAGTTGCGGCGGGTTGCGGGGGGCCGCGGTTTCCACGACCCTGGGGAGCGTCGCGACGCTTCGTATACGTCTCAGTGCGAGGGTGCCGTTCACCAAGAGTGCGCCGCCGGGCCTCGTTCTGCCACTTGTCACCCTTTTCATCTATCTCTCCTTCGCGCACTTTATCGCGCTCTTAGAAGAGTAACGCGAAAGATCCGGTACTTTCACTTGGGTCAACATCGCGAGTGCGTCTTGAGAACTTATACCCGTCCTCGATCCGAAGTACCATCGCAAAGGCAAATTGCGCCACCGAGCTGGCATCGCGTGGCATCGCATGTCTGGATCAAGCGCAAGTCCGGACGAGCAGAGATAATAACCTTCGTGGAGGGACCTTGACGTATCACCGTCGTGGCACACATCGCGTAACACAGTGAATATTTCAATACAGTATCGATCTACCGCGTGTTAAACACGTGTGTGTCGTGAGTGTCTGTGCTCTGCTCTCAAATCCCGTCGTGTTCTCGTAGAAAAAGCCTTCCTTTCATCCCCCGCAATGTATATCGGTGTACCATTATACGCGCTGTCATCCTGTCACCCCGTGAATCCGCCTGTCGCGATAAAGTGCGTGGGTCCGTGTCGCGCGTGTGAATATTTCAACGTGCTATCGATCTACCGCGCGGAACACGTGTTCCGTGAGTACCAGCGCGATACCGATCACCCTTACGATCCCGATGTTTCAGTGATCAACGTCACCTTCCATTCTGCGCGCGGTACCAATCTGCCCCGACGACTGTCAACAGTACCTGAATTGCAACTTATCGCACGGTTAGCGGCACGGTACTTGTCGCGGATCGCGAGATAAAAATTTGCCTTTACTTCAAAGTTTGAAAGTTAAAGCTCTCGCGTAAAAATACCACGCGACGTTCCACCGGGTACTTAGGAGTACGAAACCGAGACGAAATGTCACGGCGTGACCGACAAGCCATTCGTTTGCGTCACCGCAGAGATGCCCGAATCCGAACTTCGCCGTCAATCGCGTGTAGTGTGAATATTACAATACGAAATCGATCGACTGCACGAAACACATGTTTCATAAATGCCTCTATATACTCCCTGTCGTGACTTTATTTTTCCTCGCCTGTCTCCGATAAATCAAGTAAATGCGGAATTCAATGCCATTGAGTATATCCGATACTCGAATACGAATGATATCGTTTTTGCTTTTACACGGCGAAACGAATTACGTATGTAAAATTGTGCGGCACGGAGTTAAAACTCCTCGGGCGAACGCTGCAGCCACCAATGTTGGAAGCATAAATAGAAGGAAAAGTTCCTAACAACCGTCATTTTCTATTATTCCATGCTTTATCCTTGTAACGCGCGGCTGTGCACTCACGCCACAATCAAGTTACCTGTGAATATTTCAATATAGCATCGATCTACAGAAGCAAAGCAGACATTGCGAGTATCCGCTCTTGCATATCAACGCCGTTGTTTTTCTCATGTGTATTGCATAATCGCGGTATAACGTAATAGTTTATGCATAAGATAGCCTTCCGACACCCTTTTATCACAAATTGATAAAACGTTCATCGAAAGTTTAGCAATGCGTCCGGTTTTTGTCGCGACATATTTAATACATATAACTCCTATTGTAACTTTATAGTCTTTGACGACAAATTAATATTTTTCGTATCGCGGGAATTTGTTATTTTCGGCTACGTATTTGATAAGTGATCAATTATGAATCATCGATTATTTTTATTAATTTTCGTTTCCCGCTTTCGTTCCCGTCGTATAATAATACATTCATTTATCACACATTGTGTCCTCATTATGGTATAAAAAATATTCATGGATCTTCCGATCGTTTTCTACGTATAATTATGGCTTTTAATCAACTGTGAATTTCATGTCGGTGTTGTCTCGCTCGTAATGGCATTCCGACAGCGATGATAGACGACCGTCTCGCCCTTGTCCATTGTACATTCACATATTATCGCGGAGACAGCTGCTCGCATACTTCCCTCGTGTAAAACTTCGAAATTTGCATGGAGTTTGACCGATTGCTTCCTCTAATAGGCGTAGACTTTCAAGACCGGTCGAGTTAATGTAATGATTAGGATTTTATAAACAAATGTTTGTAAATTTGTGCAATTTTCTTTTCCGAGGAAGTAAAAAAATCAATATCTCACCCTTTTTCCACTTGTTGTACAGAAAAAAAGAGTCATGATAGAACCAGAATAATTAATCGAAATTACAGAGTTTTATGCGAAATGCAGTTGCTAATTGACGGCTAGGGTGCGGGTCAAAAATAAAAAAAATTAAAAGAAAAATTTGACGATTTAAGATGTTAAGTATTTAACGATATTCAGAAAAAATTAAAGAGTTTGGATTGATTTAACTGAACTAGGTGTTGGCTTTGAAATATTTGAGTAAAACAATTGCAATTAAAACGTGATTAATATTTCGAGTAATAATACTTAAATAATACTTCAATTAAAATTATAAAGACGAATAACGACTAAAAAATTCTTAATATCCTTATAATAGTTTCATACATATTTTTATAGCCACATTGTGACAATACCTGTTATAGCATACGCGCTTTAGTGTAAATCCAGAGATAAATCTTGATCTCGGCACTTGCTTTACTGCCAAGAAAAGTTGAATTTTCTCTACGGTACGTGACTCGATAGTAGAACGAGATCAGAGGATTTTGTAGAAACCAACGAGATAAATTTCAGTAGTTTATTGCCAGCATTGCAGCATTCGCGCGATTTGTTTTTCTCATAATTAGTAACTAAAATGTTTAGGCAATTGACCCACCGCTTCAGCATTTTTGCTTGCTTTAAACGAACGAAATAGCTACTCTTACACAATTTGTTTATAACAACTGGTACATTCAATTTTAGAATACCCTCAAATTAATAAATCGCACGCACAACTTTCACATTAGAATGTATTAAATCAAAAATATATGTCAATAATTAAAATTTTTTCATTGCTTCATCCTTTTTTGTCGTATATGTTTTTAATTTTTAGTGTTGCGAAATGTTTTAACATATTGCAATTAAAATTAAACTGATATAAAAACGATGCTATAGCGAAATTTATTAGAAAACCTTTCCCATTTAAATGTCCTAACATTTGTTAAAATGTATTTTTAATGCAACGTTTTATATGCATTAGAACACTCTTACTTTAAGTTCAATCAATTATTAATACAAACTCACGGTCACGTACCTCTTACTAGCTATAGATCGACTGAAATAGTAAGAGACATTTACCTCGTTAACTAATTGTCTACATAGCGATCAGACTCGCGTTTAAAGAGAAAGTTATGAAAGCTGTAAAAACTTTATCTCGTTTCCAAGTAATCGCCGAAGAAGTGACTCTAGAATACTGGAATAGTAAAATCGATCATGGGGCAACACACGTGTGTGTTATTGAAAAGTTGAAACGTACGTCACAAATTGTGTATCTTCAATTAAACGCTTTACTAAATACTTTTTGTAAACTTTGAAAAACGCTATTAGAATTAATGTGTTACAGCAAGTTTCAATAAAAAATTATTTCCATTGAAATATTATATAACAATTCTTAAATAACTGTTAACGCATCGTTAACATGAGAATTTAGTTAATTAAAGAATAGAGGGGTGGTATTTTCACATATGAAAATTGTATTTATCAGATGATTGTAGAAAATCTTGGCAGAGTGCAGCCAATTTATTCCACAAATAATCAAGAAATACAAGTCAATACAAATTGCACCCCGCCTTTCTTTTGTCATCAAGTAAAATACTGAGCATTCTGAATCGAAGCCGATCTCTCGTTTTCACGCACCACATACATACATATACATATATATATATATATCTATGCCGCCACCGTGACAAAGCAGTCTACTTTAAATCAATCGAGAGACTGGCTATTAAAGCTCGTGCCTTTCCTACGACGAGACAGTTCTCCCACGAAGAGGCAAACGTTAGTTGACGCGCGATACTCGTGCCACTTTTAACCCGACGTTGTGCATTAACTCTTTGCGGTCAATTTAAACTTTTGATCTTCGCAAATTTAATTATATGAGAAAGTGAAAATCGTCAAGTATATCTAACGATTTTAAGTTTAAAGTGTATACAGTGTTAAATATTAAATAGTGTGAATTATTTTTATTGCAAGCGTAAAAATATATTTAATGTTCTTAAATATTAAAAATAATATCAGATCAGTGAACTTGATAAGCCCAAGGAAGTGATAATGCGAGCTTTATATAGCTATTTGGAATGTATCGAACTAGAAGAGTATGAAAAGAATTTAAGTGTGCGCGACTGTCACGTTAAAGTGGTTGGTCTCGTTCGATTTCGGTTTAACTGATGGACTTTCCGTTATGATTTCTTCAAGTCTGTCGAGTTGTCAAAGAATGTATGTTCCTTTTGAAATCAAAAAACGAATTGCTACTCTCAGATAATTCAAAAGTCATTCTATGTTTTGAATCACGTTTGGTGTGTTCTAATTGTTGTAGTGTGTCATTTGCGTAGTAGATAGAAATTTGTTTGAAAAGTACAAAAATTATTAACGTGAAGTTAAATGATTCGCAACGTGTATGTTCATTCAGCTTGGATAAATTATGCAGTTGCTTATTTACTCTATGTCTATCAACTGTTTACAATTTTTCTTAATTCATTACTAAAAAAAATCACTCTTTTGAGTCTACTTTAGGCTATAATTTATAATTCGTAATAAAATTTTGTCTGTATGTTTAAATATATATAATTAGATTAGAAAAGAATTCGAGAATTAAAATGTATACACGTATAAAACACATATCAAAGAATACTTATACACAGTATTAAAATATATGTTACATAAAATTATAAGTAGAATTCTGAATTTTACTACGAATTACAGATCATCCAAAGTGAATTTAAAATAGTATTCCAGACATTGAATTGGCTCGGGTACCTCGGAAAGGCCAAATCGCGTACTCACACATAAGCTCTTGAGGCGGAAAATATTTTCTGACTAATTCTTCTTGTTCGACATTCTTTATTCAACTATTTACTTTCATCATTAATAATCATTCAAGCCACGCGGTGATAATTGCGCAATCTGATTTTTAAATATTAATTAATTTTTTAATATTCCTTATTAAACATTTATCGATGCATTCCGCTGTGCAATATTATTTTTACCGCAATAATGATATTATTATCACAACTTGACAAAAGTATTTAGTAAAATGTTCAAATTAATCATTTCTACTTGAATAAATTTTAATATACATAGATATGTTATGCGTAGATCTTACTTAATCTCAGTATTTTGGGATCAAATATTGATTAGCCTCTGATATGTTCGACCGAAATCGCGCGGTAGAAGATCGTTACCATTCTTCTTGTTCGACCTAGATCAGCTACGTGAGTGCTTTAGAACTACACGGCAGCAGGAAGTCGGTAAAAGTTAAGTGCACCGACCATTCGCGCTGCCGGGGTTCACTGTCAGTGCCATCGCACGAGCGGTTTAAACCCCGACCCCAATGTCGTCCGACATTCAACCACGTCGGTTTCTTCTGTGCTCAAGCGCGACGTCATATGCCCAAGTTGGCATTTGTAACGTGTCAAGATCGTTATACTCGTAGTACAATTCGCCATGAGTTAAACGACTATCGGCGTGTCCAAAATCATACGGAAAAAAAGGGAACAAAAAGAAAGGGAAAAGAGAGAAAGCTCTTATCGGAGAAACAGCAAAATCTAACACGAAATCGCTTAACGAGATTTAGGAAAGGGCTAAAAAACAATCGCTAAGTACCCTCGTATCCCTTTGTGATCGTCGCGCACCGCCACCACCAACCACTGCCTCTCTTCCACGCGCATCCTCGAGCACCCGTCGAATCGACCAAGCGTATTGAATGGTCGAGTAAAAGTAAAGCCGAGAAAAAAATAATTAACACACATACACATCACGAGAAATACGCCGACAGCGGCCTGAGAAGTCAGTCATGAATCTTATGTTCCGCAAGAACTTCGGGGGCGAGAAGGGATTCGGTGGTGGCGGACTGACAAGTGGAGGAGGACTGGGGGAAGTCCGGCCCGTCCTGGGCACCACTACTTACGGGACCAGCGGGGCCTCGTTCGGCCAGGTAGGGACGCGTTTCGGGGCGACGCGCGGTGGTATCGGCCAGTCGGCGATCAGCAGCGTGCGTGGACCCGTACGACGCAGCCGGGAGTTCGGATACTTTCCGTCGATGGGCGATCACGAGCACCAGACACACGGTTACCGTACTCATTTGTTCCTGTCGCCGCCCGCAGGTGGGGCGCTCGGCTCACCCTCCGAGGACTCGGGCGAGCGACTGGGCCCGCCGCCGCGTCGCAACTCGGGCCCCCATGTGATTAAATGGGGCGGCGGCGGGCCCATCAGCTCCATGCAGGGCGGTCAGATCGGCAATCAGGTCAGGAGGAAGCAAAATCAAATCGGTCAGCAGAAGGAGCCCTCCGACCCACCAACCCCGACTGCATCCAGGCAGGTGAGTGCATTTCAAGTTCGTAAGAAAACGCGAAGGGGCCAGGGACAACGACTCCAATCTCTTCGGACGCTCTTAACATCTCTAATGAGATTTTCTTAATTTTGATCTAGCGAAAAACTTGTCGCGTAATAATAAATTTTAAAAACGGTTGCGGCGTACAATTTAAAATGGCACGCCAATAAACTATCAAGCGCATTTATCTCGAAATGTGAGTCACGCACGTCAAACTATCGCGTAACATACTATGTACTCCGTATTTAACCCTAATTATAGACATTTCCCTTATACTCGACCAAAACTGTGGAAACCGAATTAATCTACGATCGTTGTATTGTTCTTCGCGACGTTAGAATTATCCGATCTAAGAGATAAATGTTGCGAACGAGCTGTTTGCCGCGACTGTTCGTTTGATCGTTATACATCTACCGTTATCACCCAACCATCTAAATAAAGGCAAGAAAATTATTTAATATTACGTACGCAATAAAACAAGACTTGCCGGTTAATTTATAGCGATTACTCTATATTCAATAATGGCTGATTTATATTATAATTTATATATTGCTTTCTAAAGATAATTTTTTGTTACCATTAGGCCTGCAAATAATTTTCTGGCTTTGTAGATTTTAATTTTAATTAATTGTACGCTGAAATATATATTGTATAATCTCTATCGTGAAACAAAATTAGTCATATTTTATTCCCTAAGAATAAAAGAATTAGCTAAGAAATTAACCGGATATTACCGTAATAAATCTCAAACTTCTTGACAGATTAATTGCTTTTCATTGTCGTTGTTATTGAACCAGGTGTTATATCGCCATTCTTTAAATTGGGCCATCGGATAGCGAAAAATATTGCAATAAAGCAAACTTACGGAGGAAACGAGGGACTGTTTATAGAAGGGGAAACATAAAGTAGCACCTACGCGAGCTCAGACGACACGCAAAGTCGCTATCTCTTATTGCGCATCGTGGCGAATCCGAAGACATAAATTCGCCAAGTGTTCGACAATTAACATCTATTATGTACTATCAACTCGAAATCCGCTCGTATCGCGATGTTTTCGTCAACGTTTAGTGCGTCGTATTCTGCACGCGAGAGGAGACATTTTCGGGTCACAGATGCGTTGCGATGAATCTTATGACCACATTACTTGGTCGGCAGACAGAATTTAACGACGGGTGTTTAACCCTTTTAGTAGCAGACTAGAAAGTGCATAATAATCATATTTCATACTTTATGATGTTCGTAACTGGCTAATTATGGAAAAAATTGAGAACCGATAATATAATCATTAATTTGACAATTGTCACAAAATTATTGCAAAATTATTATTAATGTAAAAAAATACTGCCTTACATTTATCCTAGCATTGCAATTATTGCAATTGAACGTAGAAATGTATCGATAAAAAGTATTGGAAGAATACGGCGAATACGTGGAATTCGTAATAAATCTCTTGCTAAACTTATCGCGTGATCGAAAAGAACGAGCTGTACGAGAGATGTAAGTGCGGAAATTCATGATTGAAGTATTGCTGCAGCTTTCACGGTCTAACGAAGACCGCAGTGTCGTGTAGCGACCTATGACCTTTGCGATGCGCACCGTGGACATTTACCGTCATGTATACCCAACGCAACGCGATTAAATATCAGAACACGCGTGCAAGCATGCTTTTTCTACTTATCGATTGTACTTGTGAATACAGAAAATGCGTTCCAATGCAGGAGACACGGTCAGCACTTGCAAATTGCGTACGCGCCATAATACACACGTGAAACAGAAACTTACACTCCAAAAAATGCATACAACTGAAACGAGCATGAATTAGCCAATTATTTCAATATTTTCTGTTTATTTAAAATTAATATATCAACAGCCAAACATTTGTACTTTAATAGTCTATTGCAATCTTGTTTATTGCAGACTCACTAAAATGAAATGAAATTGAAAGGGATGTTTTCAAATAACTTTCTCGCGGAAACAAACTAAATTATAAATTATGAATATATTCAATGAATAGAGAATTTCACACATTGTAATGAATAATAAATAATAAAATTGCAAACTTTAATCAGGAAAATTACAAAATTTTATGTATAATGTGTCACAGCGTAAATTTAATTTACAATTAACAAACTTAATTATTACAAATTAATAAAATTCATAAGGCTCTATTGTGGTAAACACAATTTCGAAAAAATAAAGACTAAAGAGCTGTGACAGGATGTTAATGTCTGAATATTTCTTTCCATACAGCACGCATGTCTAAAAGACGACTTAAAGATGTCTTAAAGATATCTTTTAGACATGCGTGCGGGTTTTTTTTTCAAATTTATTTCGAAAAATATTACTTTGAACCTGGAACCCTCCCTCTCACTAGGCGGGCGTCTCAACCAATCCGACCACCGAGGCATGTAAACTTGAACTCAATTATGCTCGCAGCTTTAATTTTTAATTAAAAAATATACCTTAAGAAATATACTATCTTTGGACAAAAAATACTCTGGAAAGTTAAACACTTTTGCTAACGCGTACTCTCGACAATTTGCATAAGTCTCTTTGCATCGGACATTATACATAGGTACACTATACGTGGTCATTTATGCTGTACGCACCTTCAGTATATCGAGGCTTGAAAGAAATGCAGTAAACATTTCCCGATGGAACCGTTATTGTGAAACGGGCCGCCCCGTTCGGAACTTTAATTAATGTATTACGCATACGGTGTGACACACGTGACGTTCGGAGTTTAATAGCTGTTTGAGGTAAGGTAACATTATACGGTAAACCACAATGGAATGCAATACACGAGTCGACAGCTTGTTTGTAACTAGGGATGATTAAGCTCTACTAGGTTGTGCCATTTTAATTTGATCACCGAAAGTAAAGTTATGTATTAAGACAGAGACGTCGTGCGTGCAAACGCACAACGCAAGTAGAAGTCTTGCAACGTTATGCGACATACTATTTTTACACACTAAACAGCATGTAAATTGTTATCGACCGTGGAAGTTTTTCGCCGTATATGTGCCTTTCGCACAATGTTAACGATGCGCACACGTGTATTTCCTATGCACTGTTGCAGTAACGTATTAAATTAACGGTACGCACGTTTCTGTACACGGAAAGTCTTCTTGTGGTAATTTATAGGGAAAGCTTCATTGTACGATCAAAATTAATTCAATAATGAAATTGATTCAAGAGAATATTATAATCAAATAATTAAAATTTCATTCCTTACTAATTAGAATTCTTCAACGTCGCCAGGGGTAATTAACAATGTCAGTGTTTTCTTGAACATACCTGGCATCTTTAATATAATAATATAGAAAATTTATTGCGAAAAATATTACCTCAGCCAAGGTTTGAATGTGGACCTTCCTACACTCTAGGCGGGCGTCTCACCAATTCGACCATCGAGGCATATGATAATATTTGTCGCAATAACACATCTTTATACTGTTATTGTGAAAAATATTATTATATACCTCGGTGGTCGAATTGGTGAGACGCCCGCCTAGAGTGCAGAGAAGTCCAGGTGCAGGTTCAAGCCCTGGCTGAGGTAATATTTTTCGCAATAAATTTTCTCTATTATTAAAGTTGCCAGGTATGGTCAAGAAAACACTCACGTTATTTATTCTTTACATACGAAGAAATGAACAACAAACTAGTTTATTTCTAAAATGTATCTCCTTTGCGTATTCTACCCGGTTCTGTTTCATAAAAGACGATGTTTGCCGGCCACGGGATGAAAAATTGCGCAAGTGACGTGATCAATCGTTAACGCCCGGGTTGCACTTGCAAAATTTACGTGCATCGTAAATCGCGCCGTAAGTTGCAGTGAACTTTGAACGTGAACCGTAAAGTTGCACGACCTACGAGACTTTACGCGCGAAATGGTAGAAAAAAACGGGCCCAGGCCGGAACTACAATCATGATTATCTGCACTTTGGTAGTAAAGGACAAGTAGAGTCAGAAACGAAGCGCGTACTTGCGAGCGTCTCATGCCACATGGTGTTCTATACCTATGGCCTATTTCCATTTTATTCGGGCACGTATTACCTTGACATCTTTACTATTACTGCTATAAACGTATTCGCTAGATATGTCCACGCGCGTGAATCTACTGTTGAATACACTGGGACGTCTCCCAGCGCTTTCATCTTTAATCCAGCAACGGTGATCTACAATCTCACAAACCGACATCGATTCTTTTAAGCACAGTGACATGTTTCAACCATATTAAGCAGTTAAAAAATATAATGTAGAATTTATCTGTAAATATATTTACGTAAACGTGAACAGAGGAAAGAAGTTTTTCTTTTAAGAAACGTTGATAGCTACATCGTTAATTTATTCGTACACGATATAATCGTGTCACCATTGCAGAAATAAAGATGTAGACATTCTTAGCTATCTTAAGTGAAAATTTCATTTTGAAATAATCAGCGTAAATGTTTCTAACGCGTTTAATTAAACGTACAGAGACATCGGGAATTAGGATTACGATCAATAAAGCGTGCATGAGTTTTCATTTCGTGCATGTTCCGAATGTTTCGTACGCCCATTTAATTACCGATGTTCGTGCCGACCTTGCGCACACTCTGTCCTGGACTTAGCAGCAATACGAGATAATAAATGTGCACAAATTGAAATGGGTGAGACTGATTCTATCTACCACGATACGTGACGTTGAAGCGCGGATAAAGTAAACGTTGTGTGTATATCTAATAATATCTAATTTTTTAATTGTTTTCACCAGCAGGTATCCTTCAGCGGAAATCGTGCTTCCGGTACTTACACACCTCTCGTGGTTTCCGGAAATAGCCCGCCACGAGGCGAACCAATCTCCTTGGCCACTTTGGACCGCGACTGCTTTATTATACCTCTCGCGTCTCTCGAACGCTTTTTACCAGCTGGTGTACCGGTGAGTTAATAAAAAATTTACTTTGGTTTTGTCCAACGCGAAATGTACACGTTAAAAAAGAAACTTTTAACACAATCGATCAATGTGTAATCAACCGTGAGAAAGTTTAGCATTTGCCGTAATTAAAATGTGGTCAAGCTATTGGTTTTATGTTCATATGAGCATCTAAGGATAGATAAAATGTGTCTACTAAAGAGACGTCCGTAATAAAGCACGTAATAAGTTACGAGTCTGGGAAATGCTGATATTAAAAAAAAATAATAATTGCGTAATGATGGTGTACAGGATTTGTACAAAGAAATTATTGCAGAGTCTACATAAGAAAGTCCTGCCTCTAAAGAAACGTCACTTTTGCCCCTTCGTTCCTGATTCGATCGAATAAGAATTACGACGTACAATTTCATAATTGATGCACCTGATTAATTTTGCTCTCTTTGTAATTTAATATCTTTCGTTTATTCGAAGCACGCTCCTGTCGCTGATAAGAAGAGACCGGGAAGTCCTCTGTCGGTTCTCGAGGTCGAGGACCCGAAGCAATGTGTTCTCGCGCATTTCATGACGCCACTGGAGCCATTGGACCCGCTAATGGAGTCTCCAGTGTCTCGTCCGTTGGTCCTACAACGCGACACCGCCGCGGAACTAGTCGCCGAGATAGCACCCTCCGCGTCGCAAAGCATTTTACTTACGAATATGGAGAAGAACGGTACGGTAAAATCGGACTAGGGACAGCGAGATAACGACGAGTATCCTTAAGATCGTTGATTCGAATTCCCGTGTGCTTTTCAGCGGATTTCCCGTTCATCACGTATTATCTAATAAACAAGCAGAGCACGGACCCCATAGATTTTTACAACGAAGTGCAATGCGCGGCCCTACGTAAGTTCGATCCCCGAGATCTCAGATACGCGGCCAGTCACACCCTAGATCTGTTCAACGAGGTAGCGACCATCGCGAGACCGCCGCTCGAACCACCCGGTGGAAGACCGCCTATTCCGTCCACCGGCTACATAGTGTCGATTTTTAAAGTTTTCGAGGGCGACGACGGCCTCAAATTCGAACAAAACTGGCTGTACTGGACAGGTGAGCCGTCCATGTGTCTTATATCTTTTAGCTTAAGTTATACTTTTACTTTGAGGTCTTATTAAAAATCTATATACGGTAAAATTTGTTTTGTTTCGATTCCCAAAGTTTAGTGCTGCTACAAAGTGGTAGCAAGCTTAAATTTATTTTTAAAGCACTTTCGCCAAGAAAGTTATAGAGTACAATACACATATATAAAGAAATATCATATACATTTCATATAAAGAAACCTTCTTGTTTCAAAAGATGTAAAATCATTGAAAAATATGGACGGAAAGGCTATGAAATAAAATAAGATTAAATTGGCGCATTGTAAAAATTAATATAATCACCACGTCCTTTATGAAATTTCTTTGCCAAATAAAATTTATCAAATATGGAAATCAGAATGCATTATGCAAGTGCAAATATATATTAGTAAAAATCTTTGAATATTATATATTGTTCTTCTTGTATGTATGTGGCGCCAATTTAATATGATATTTAACTCTGAAAGAATAACAAAGAAGCGGATTTCAAATTTTATTAAAGACATATTTGGAAAGAGAGGAAATGAGAGGGAATAAAGCATATATATTAATAATTAATTATGTTTTATAAATATATCAATTTCTTTTTTTTTTTATGTACAGAAATGTTTTCTTTCTCTGTACTTCGTCATCGTCGTGAATCGTCGTGTTGTCATGAACACCATGAAGAGTTCAAATAAAAGCTTCATATTATTTAAATATTTTAGAACAATTTTTTACCTTCTCTTTTCGTAATTTTTCACTAATTTCATTGCAAGTCATTTCAAAAAGACAATCTATTATAATTAATTATAACTGACACCAAAAATTAGCTAAATAATTAATATATTATACTTTCATGGTGTTCTTAATCTACTCTGAAACTCGTCAGTGCTTGGCAATTCGCGAATTGAATAGAACATTTAACAAATCGACAGGAATTTATGCTTCTGTATAAATTGTACTCCAGAGTTAAATATTAACGTATTCTAGCCCATCCATCAAGGTAACAGATTTATAAAACACTTCTATCTATAACATTCGTATATTCTTAATTAAAATGTTTAATTTGTAAATACAAATAAAACTAAATAATAGAATATTTGCTGCTGCTTATTCAACTTCAATTTATTTTACTTCTTGTATAATTTAATTTCTTTTGCATACTAACAATTATCGCCAAATAATATTATATATGTATATATCCAATATGTGCATATTTATAAATCTATTACCTTAAAATCAAAATTAATATGAAACTCACCGGTACGATGCGCAGCAGCGGAGTTGTAGTTTGCGCCACGCTGATCTGTAAAATACAAAAATATCTAAATTAAAGTCTTTTGCAATATAAATAACAGCATATTATATTGTTATATAATTTTCGACAAAATGCCCCGTTAAATCTCTCTCTCTCTCTCTCTCTCTCTCTCTCTCTCTCTCTCACTTTTATGAAATTATTACATATAAAATTTAAATAATAAAAATTTAATTCTCATTCAAAGAATTATGAATCCTAATGAAAATCACGTATGTCTTCAATATTAAACAACAATTTCACTCCACATTTTGAATACTTCTCAAAATGAAATCTAAAATATATTATAAATTTATGGAATAATGATATAGCAGCGAACAATTAATCCCGCGAACAATAAGCATACAAAATAAATGATAGCAGGTTTTCGCCACCCAAATTCCATCGCAAATCTTTTTTCGCAACGACTACACGATCTACCAATAAATTTTCCGCAGACAGATTTCGCTCCAAGTAAATTCACGGTGGAATCGACCGATGGTGCGCTATTAATTTAACTGAGACCCCGCTATCTTGTATTAGGAGACTTCTGTGTATGCTCACCTCAAGGTTGCTCCGCTGGTGCCCGACGCCCCCCTGGCCTCCTCCTCCTCCTCTCGTTTCCGTTGTAGCATCTTTGCGACACACGCGAAACACATCGCGAAAACACACTAATTACGATCACGCGCGCAATCACTGGAACGGGCCGATCGCCGCGGCACATC